GGTATTCATCATTCTACCCATACTCTTACTATTGCCTGCTCGTGCTCTTACTCACTTCAGCATCGGAGTGTCTTGCAGGTACCCCCCACCTCGTTCAAAACTTTCAGCTCGGAGCCAGCCGTGACGGTCCAAGTCTGATCAGGTGAGATCAAAAATCTACGGTGAACACTCAACAATATTATCTCACTTAATCTATATTTTTGCGGGATTTAAATGTAACATTTATTAGATAAATAATTAAACTGAAATCTTAAGTTATTAGTTTGATGTCCTTAAGAAGCTGAAAAACTATTTATCCCATAGTTTTGGAATGTGTTATTGTGATTTTCTTTTTGCTATAGAATTGCAAGAGCAATAATAATGTAAATTATCAGATATCATGCTTTCACCAAGCTTCATTGCTTAGATGAAACTCTTCCACCACACTGAATATGGCTGTGACACTGTATCCCCTTCGAATGTTCCTTCAAAATTCTCTAAACAGTACAAAAACTACACAACTTTCATGCAGATTCACCTCTTCCCTCGCTTTTGCTCCAAACCCATATCTCATATTGCGTGATTACAAGTTTTCAGGGCACTACATTGCTAGAAACACAAAAATCCTGCATGCCCATTTTCTAAAAACTAATTTTTTACAATCTGGTATCTTCTTCATCAACTCTTTGATTGATTTATACTGTAAATCCACTGACATGGTCGCTGCTCACAAACTGTTTGATACAATTCCTCTACCAAATATTGTTTCTTGGAATGTCATGATATCCGGTTACAATCGTAGTTCCGTGTTTGTGAAGTCGTTGGAGATGTTTTGTGGGATGCATTTGTTTGGTTTTGAGCCTGATGAGTTTAGTTTTGGAAGTGTTCTTTCGGCTTGTGCTGCGTTGCAGGATGAACTATTTGGTATGCAAGTTTTTTCACTACTCGTGAAAAATGGTTTTCTCTCAAGTGGTTATGTTCAGACTCAAATGGTGGATATGTTTTGCAAAAATTTTGACTTTACGGAGGCTCTGAGGTTTTTTAATGATGTTTCATGTGATAATGTGGCGAGTTGGAATGCTATTATTTCTTTGGCAGTTAAAAATGGAGAAAACCTGGTTGCTTTAAATTTGTTTCGTGAAATGTGTTGTGAATCTTTAATGCCGAATAGTTATACATTTCCGAGCATCTTAACAGCTTGTTGTGCGGTTAAAGAGATGCAGATAGGGAAAGGAGTTCATGGATTGGCGATCAAATGTGGTGCGATGGATGTTTTTGTGGAGACTGCTATCGTTGACTTGTACGCCAAATTTGGATGTTTGAGCGAAGCTTATAGACAATTTTCACAGATGCAAGTCCAGAATGTGGTGTCGTGGACTGCTTTAATTTCTGGGTTTGTGCAAGAGGATGATACTGCTTTTGCACTAAAGCTTTTCAAAGATATGAGGATAATCGGTCAGGAGGTAAATACATATACCGTTACTAGTGTACTTTCTGCATGTGCTAAACCTGAGATGATCGAGGAGGCAGGAGAACTTCACTCCTTGGTAATAAAATTAGGGTTGGTTTTGGATGATAAGGTTGCAGCTACTTTAGTCAACATGTATGCAAAAATAGGAGAAGTTGGATTATCCGAATTAGCCTTCAGCGAGACGAAAAATACGGACGATCCGGGCATATGGGCATCAATGTTATCTTCTTTTGCTCATAACCAAAATTATGGAAGGGCACTTGAGTTATTCACTGTAATGTTCGGAGAAGGAGTGAAACCTGATGAGTATTGTATTTGTAGTTTGTTAAGTATTATGAGTTGCTTAAGTCTAGGGTCTCAGGTGCATGGTTATGTTTTAAAGTCTGGGTTAGTTACTGATGCTTCTGTTGGTTGTTCGCTTTTTACAATGTACTCGAAATGTGGTTGTTTAGTAGAATCCTATAAAGTTTTTCAACAAGTACATGTGAAAGATAATGTTTCGTGGGCGTCCATGATTTCTGGTTTTGCAGAGCATGGATATCCTGATCAAGCTCTTCGACTATTTAAAGAAATGCTATATCAAGAAATTGTACCTGATCACATTACATTAACCTCGATTCTAACTGCATGTGCTGATCTTCGTTTCTTGCAGACGGGTAGAGAAATTCATGGTTATGCTTTTTGTTTAGGACTAGGACAAAATACAGTTGTTGGTGGTTCACTTGTAAACATGTATTCTAAGTGCGGAAGCTTGAGTTTGGCAAGAAAGATGTTTGATATGCTTCCTTCTAAGGATGCATTTGCTTGTTCTTCATTGGTCTCAGGATATGCCCAAAAAGGTTTAATTGAAGATTTGTTTTTGTTATTCCATGATATGCTTCAAAACAACGTACCAGTTGATGCCTACACAATTTCATCCATTCTCGGGGCTGCTTCACTTTTGTGTCAATCAGAAATCGGAACTCAATTGCATGCCTACATTGAAAAGCTGGGATTACAAGCCAATGTATCCGTTGGAAGTTCGCTAGTGACAATGTACTCAAAATGTGGAAGTATCGAAGACTGCGGGAAATCATTTGACGATGTTGAGAAGCCTGACCTTATAGGTTGGACATCGATCATAGTGAGCTATGCTCAACACGGTAAAGGTGCAGATGCCTTAGCTGCATATGAACTTATGAAAAGAGAAGGAGTTCAACCTGATGCAGTGACTTTCATTGGGATTCTATCGGCTTGTAGCCATAGTGGGCTAGTTGAAGAAGCTTTCTTCTATCTTAGTTCAATGTTTGATGACTACAACATTGTGCCAAGTCATCGTCATTATGCTTGTATTGTTGATCTTCTTGGTCGATCAGGTCGACTAAGAGAAGCTGAAAGTTTCATTAACAATATGCCTGTTGAAGCCGATGCTTTAATATGGGGAACTTTGCTTGCTGCTTGTAAGGTTCATGGTGATTTTGAGCTCGGGAAGTTGGCAGCGAAAAAAATAATTGAATTGGAACCAAGTGATGTCGGTGCTTATGTGTCGTTTTCAAACCTTTGTGCAGATGGAGGACAGTGGGAAGAAGTCACAAAGATTAGGAATTCATTTAACAAAACTGGGATGAAGAAAGAACCTGGTTGGAGCCTTGTGTGAAAAGCAATGATGTCCTGATTGCTGACCTTGTAAAAAGCAATTTACGATGATACTTCAACAACGTTCCTCGATCAAAGCCATACTCGTTGGTAATTTCGGTCTTAATGTCTCGGATTGAGCTGAATCAAAACTTTCAACTATTCAGAGAAATTGTCTGTCAAAATCCATGCTGGCAAGGGATGTTGCTTTGTTCAATTTGAGACTAGTTACATCTTGCCTTTGAAAGAAGATTGTTCCATCCCATTTTGTTCTGCTTTGGTGTAAGATGCTTGTTGTATAATAATTATATGGTTAACTCAGTAAACATATGTAGTTAACACAGATTAGTTGATAGTTAATAAATATAAAAACGTGTTGTGGCTTATTTATCATATTCAATATACAATTAACTATGATTTTGAACACCAAAGCAGAACAAAATACGCATACTAGGCCCTAATCCTTCCAACTCTTTGACTTGATTCTCAATTTCTTTCTTTTTTTTCATGATACATCAATACGTTTGATGTAAGGGTATTAGAGACTTTTGATCCCATGACTTTGGATGACTTTAGTTATTTTTGATGAAAAGAGAAAGTGAAAAAAATAAATAAATAAATATATATATATATATATATATATATATATATATATATATATATATATATATATATATATATATATATATATATATATATATATATATATATATATATATATATATATATATATATATATATATATATATATATATATATATATATATATATATATATATATATATATATATATATATATATATATATATATATATATATATATATATATATATATATATATATATATATATATAACTTTCGTGGAAGCAATTGTAAGTGTTATTGGAACATGAGAATTGATTTACTTTTAACATTGCGCAAGTTAAATATTTATGATTAAATATTTTAATATAATCAAAATCACATTATTCTTAAAAATATATTTTAAAAATAATTTTTATTAATAACTACTTAAAATAATTAAAATTTTAAATAATTATTAAATATTTTGATAATTTAAAGTATAGTAGAAAAATAATAAAATAATATTTTATAAAAAATTGTTTAAATCAATTTTTTATTTAATTAAGAAAAAATTGAACAAACCAGTCATAACCATGGGTTTCTAATCTAAAACAAGTTAGAAAAATAAAGATAAAATACCTCAATAGTTCAAAAAGCTTGTGTTGTTTTATGTTTGTTTCAAGGTCTTGACAAACTCACAGTCCTTATGATGGGTGAAGACCTTATTTTTAGCTGTAGGTGATGCATCATGGAGTTTAGATGATCTTGTTTTATCTGTGTGGTCTCCCATAAATGAATATAGATGTTATCCATTTCATCCAAGTCTTTTTGAGTATCAAACCAAACTTTTCCTCCTTACATTTATACCAAAAGAATTTTAAATTTGTTCTTTGCAAAGTCAGAGTTGAGAAGTAAGTAAAAAATATAATGTAGTGGATCTCTTTTCTTCTATTAATTGAATTAATTGAAGAAATAATTCAAAAATAAAACAGTATGTACAAAAATGAATAACAAACTCTAGTAGAGATTGGTACGATTCAATTCAACATTTTTTCATTTGAGTTTGATTGTGTCATAACTCTATAATTTGGATTGGATTTATCATTGGATGAACTAGTTTTTTTTACGATAAAATAACTTATTCAATTAAGAGTCGAATCAGTTTGATTACAATGCATTGATTCTAAAACATCAATAGGAATAAAACCATTCCAAGTTCTAGAGCCCACCCTTCTACCTATTCCTACCATATCATGAGCCCCACTATTACAATCCCTCATGGTGAAAATTATGAAAGCATAATTAAAAGAGTCCAATAGGTGTCGACAGTCCTCCACGATGAGATCAAGAGTTGCTGAGAAGTTGAGCTTATTTATGCAATCCACGACAAACAAAGCATCAGAATGAATAAGAATTCTATCGAGATGGAGAGATTCGCAAGCTGCAAACCCCAACGGAAAACCAGCGTCTCTTCCAGCCCTGGAGTTACATGTACAATCTCTCTCTTGCAAGATGTCAGCGCCACATTATTGTCACTATCCTTGATCACATAGCCAAAAGAATAGCAACCCTTCTGAAAACAACCTGCATCAACATGAATATAATTGAACAAATGATTATTTGGATTCCTACTAATAGCCCCCCGACTTCTTGTTTTTTGCTCCTAGGTGAGGATTGGCAAGCATAAATTCCTCCACTTCCTCCAATGCTTCAGTTGCCACCGCCCACGGATTCTAAGAGGTCCGCTGAAAATGCAGTTGATTTCTAACATGCCACAGTTTCCACAAGATCATACAACATATTTGGACTACAAAAACATTATCACTTTTAAGGGATCTATCAAGCCAATCAATAGCGTCAAGATGAGGAGGGATACGACACCCAAGAGGGGAATAAAACCAGACCTGTTTCGCAAACTGACAGTTGTGAAATAAGTGGTTGTCAGACTCTGGGGAAGCATTACAAAATTCACAAGTCACATCCAGCCAAACTCCTCTCTTCCGCAAGTTACACTTAGTAGGCAGAATCCGCTATGCTAGTCTCCAAAGAAATTCTCTAATCATGTTTAGAACAGGAGCTTTCCAAGTTTTCTGCCAAAGGGAGTCACATTCGTCACCAAACGATCCAAGTATCGAGCCGAGTCTCCTTCTATAGATTAATCTGTATGTAGACTAGATCGAATACTCTTCATTATCCTCATGGTGCCAAATTATTTTGTCTTCTGGTTATCTGAAGGAAAGAGGGATGTTGCAGACCTCAAGTGCCTCTGCCGCATTGAACCAGTTGCCAATTAACTCCTCATTTCATCTTTGAAGATCCTGATCAATAAGCTCCTTAACCATAGCTTCCTCCCCAATAGATCTAACAAGGATTTTTATACTAAGACCTGAATTGTCAGCTAACCAATTATCTTTCCAAACCCTCACCTTGGATCCATCCCTGATTCTCCATCTGTGGCCTTGTTGGATAATATCTTTGGCGCTAAGGATGCTCCTACACGCATAGCTTGGAGAGAATCCCGCCTTGGAATCAAGAATCGAGCATCTAGGGAAATATCGGCTTTTAGAGACTTTTCCCAAAAGAGAGTTCCCCCCACCAACATACGCTAAAAATGCTTTCCCAGAAGACTAATATTGAATTCACTAAAGCCTCAGAACCCCATACCACAAACACTTTTGCCTACCACCATTTTATCCCACTTCAGCCAATGCAATTTCCTCTCCCCTTCCTTCACACCCCGCCATAATTTTGCTAACAAGGCTTCAATCTCATGGCAACAACTCTCGGGAAGCTTGTAGCAGCTCATAATGTAATTTGGGATAGACTGCACAACCGCCTTGATGAGAGTCTTCTTCTCGGACCTTGACAAGAAATTCTCCTTTCACCCTTTAACTTTCTTCCAGACTCGCTCAACAACCAGAGAGAACACATCCTTCTTCGATATTCCAAAAACAATAAGGAGACCTAAGTATCTAGAATAAGACATCACCGTATTGACACCCATCCGAGTATGGATCATTTATTTCACCTCTTCATGCATATTTCGACTAAAAGACGCCTCTGATTTATCGAGATTAACAACCTAGCCTGAAGCCATCTAATATCTGTCAAGGGTTTTCATCAAACAATCAGCCTCCGGTGCATTGGCTCGAGCAAACAACAAGCAATCATCAGCAAAAAACAAATGGGACAGCTTGGGAGCCTTCTTGGCCACTTGCAGTCTGTGAATATTATTAGTCTCCATCTCCCTCTTCAGCAAGCCTGACAACACATCTGCATAGAGAATAAAAATGTAAGGGGAAATTGGGTCGCCTTGTCGGAGACCTCTCTCGGGAGAGAAGCTTCAACTTGGCTTCCCGTTAATCAAGATCTGGTAAAACACAGTGGACATCCATATTCCAATAAGTGTTACCATAGTCTCCTGGAATCCCATGGACCGCAACACTTCTAACAGAAAACTCCACTTAATCCTATTGTAAGCCTTAGACATGTCAAGTTTAAGAGCCATCATGCCTTTCTTTCATGTTTTCTTCTTTTTCATCTAATGAAAGCACTCAATTGCAATTAACATGTTGTCTATTATCAATCTACCTTGCACGAACGCACTTTTCTCTTCATCGACGACATCCGGGAGCAGGACTTTCAACCTGTTAGCAATGGTCTTTGTTACTAATTTCATAACCACATTGCATAGGCTAATAGGCCTAAAATCTCTAGGGGTGTTCAGGTTCTTCACTTTTGGGATAAGGACAATGAAAGTTTTGTTGAGACCTGACGGATCAATATTATTATTCAACACCCCAAGCACTAGATTCTAGATTTCAGACCCCACAATTCCCCAACATTTCTAATAAAACAGTGCAGGAAGTATGTCTAGACCCGAAGCTTTCAAGGGGTGCATCTGCTTCAACACTTCTTTGACTTCCAATGAAGAATACGGGGCTTGGCACCAAAGTTTTTGTTGGCTATTGATCTTCCCCTTCATAACTTGGCAGACTTCCTCAATATTTGATAGACCAGATGAGGAGAAAATATCAGAAAAATAAGACAGTAGGATTCTTTCGCAATGTTTCTCACCCCTCCACCAAATCCCCTTATCATCTTTTAGCTTAGCGATGTGATTCTTTTTTCGTCGTTGGTTCTCCTTGCCATGAAAGAATTTTGTGTTGCGATCATCGTCCCTTAGCCAAAGGGCTCTGCTCCTTTGCCTCAATATAACCTCCTCGATCCTGAGAAGCTTGTTACACTGCTTTTCAAGAGCCTTGTTTTTTACTATATCTTCTTCCCCCTCATCCCATCTATAATCAGCCTTTGATATTTCCTCGCTTCAATTCTTTCCTGACAACACCAAGATTAAGCTCACCAAACGAGTCTGCAATATTCTGGACAACAACAATTTTGTTAGCACCTTCAGTAATCACAACATCTATGAGTTGTCTCTTACTTTCTGCACTCAACATATGCTTATGTTGTACTTCTTTGGCCCTACCTTCAATTTTCTTCATGTTCCATGCCGTCTTCCTACCCGAAGTCCCTTTTGCTTGTCCTTTCGCTTTCGAACCAGCAATTGCTACGGCACCTAGCGATTCAGCCACATTCTCGACTTCCAGGTTTTTCACCACATTTTCACCTCCCGAGTTTCCTATTGCCTTGTTCATTTCCCCTCCCTCCAGCAAAGGATTACTTTTATTACAATTGTTTTGGATTTGTTCTACTTCAGCCTCCTTCTCGCCCCTTTTCTCCTTCATTCATTAGTCACACCTGCTTTGACTTGACTAGATGATAAGTGGAAATTTTAGTTATTTTGTATATATTTTTTGTTGTATTTATCGACTTTGTGTTGTTAATATCGGTTGAATAAATTCAACTTTTGTGTAAATACGTTTAGTTTGTGTATAATGCATTTTCGTGTATAAAGTGTATCATTTGATAGTTTTGTATTCATTTTATAAGTATTTGAGCATTATTGGAGCAAGAGGAATAAAAACTCCAAGACGCATTGTTGGATCACTAAAAGAATAAGGCTAAGAAGAGAGAGCCATTTGAAGTTATGCAGAGAAAGCAACAAAAGTTGTTGGGCTGATGTGCATCGTCGAGCGAGGGCCATCGGTCTGCGTCGCCGGGCGACAGTGGAGCGAGAGGGACCAATTTTTCAGTTGTTTCTGTCTTGCTTCGCGTTTGTGCCGCTGGGAGAAGAAGAGTAATTGCACTGGGCGACGTGAGTCTGTCACTGGGCGAAAGAACATATTTATGGCCAGTTGCCCACGTGGCGTAGTCTGGGCCAAGAGTTTAGGTAGCATCGTCGAGTGACGTGTTTGTGCCGCCAGACGATGGTCGCGGAACAACATTTCTTTATATTTCTTTTTCATTTCATTTTGTTTGGTTATGGTTTTAGGGGTGGTTTTTGTTCTCTCAATTCCATCAACCTCAGTTTTGTAGTAGATTAGCTTAGATAACAACTATGGAGCTTGCATACGGATGATCCAGAGTGGATTGCTCTTCGATTCGCGCTGACAAATTGGGAGATTTTTGGTTCATTTCTCTTTTTCTTTGTGTATTATCTTTTAGTTGGGTTTTGTATGTTTATTTACTTTGATCTTATGTATATTTGTCACCTATGGCATTATATTTAATTTGCTTTACAAATCTTTGTGGGTTGTTATTGTTGATTTTTGCTTTGTGCTAGGGATTTGGATTGTTATAGACATATACTTCTTGAATTCTTATCTAGGATGATCATCTGTTAGTTTATGGATTCTAGAGATAGATTTAGAACTGACATTCACTTAGGTGCCAGTGATTAATGTCTCTGTCTTGGTTGTGTTGACTGGGATATTGTTAACGCGAGTAGCACGATTGACTTCTGTGTTGTTAAGGTTGGTTGAGAGATCGCCATCGAGGTGATATGGTGGTTGTAGTGTTTGACACATGATGACATTTATGAGTATCGTAGGTTGAGTATAATTAGTCGATAGATTTAAGTCTGTGAGGAGTAGTATATATGCACTCTTGATAAATTATTCTTTTTTCTTTTATTTTTGTTTACATTTATTTTCTGTTGATAGCTATTACCCTTTCCATTCAAACCCCCAAATCCATTAATGAATGAATTGTCGAACGACGACTCGATAATCAATCTTTGTGAACATGATACAATATAACCTAAATATCACCCGATAAAATTAATACTTTACTTTTTGCTTGCCGCTTTACCGCATCAGCACTAGACGATGCATTGAATAGACTCTTGCTGCAACTGCTGGAACTAAATTCTTTTCTCTTCGAAGCTTCTTCAACCTTCGGGAGAGGGGACGCACGAAGCCATAATCCAAAGGAAAGGTCATGTTCATCAAGATATTCAAACCCTTCCTTACCAAGGTCTTCAATCACTTCACAATCATTCAATTGATGGTCCAACCGTCCACATACAAAACAGAAGTGGGGAGTTGTTCATACTTGAAATGAACCCTATGGCTCTTCTCGTTGAACCTCACCATTGTTCCTCTTTTCAAAGGTTATCTCAGATCCATCTTTACTTTGATTCTCAGAAATCGACCATTTGTGTGCGCATCTCTCGCATCCATCTCTTCAATGACCCAATAATGTCACCAAGCTTCTTTGACATAGCCTCAAATCTTAACATCAAAGGAAGGTCATAAACCCTAACACTAAATGCCTCAAAGTGCATATCCAACCCTGACGGTTGTTCTTCTCCGGTAACGCGATCAAGAACTAGGAGATTTCAATCAAAACTCTAAGGCCCGTTACGTATCACTGTTTCCAGATCTCGTTTTGAGCTGAACTTGAACAAGATCAAGTTTTTGTTTAGCTCTTGAATCTCCATCGGGTTCTTAAGTTTCCAAGCATTCACGATAGTGCTAGTGAAGGCTCTCGAATTTAAGTTATTATATGTCCATAGTTTCTCAGCCAGAGTCCTATGGAACACCTCATCCCACAATACTTCATCTCCTTCAGTTGTAACGCCTTCTTCTTCCTCCTTCGAAAGAGGGAGATTCCTCCATTTCTCCATTGATGAAGGTAAACAAAACATTGAGTCAGAAATAGAGAAACAAATGTGAGAAAACCAAAGAAACTTTCGATTCAGAAAGGGGGAAACCAGAAGAGATCTGGGGACACAGCCACCAAAAACCCTAGGGTTAAGGGGAAAAACACGATAAATTTTAGAGAGAGAGAGAGAGAGAGAGAGAGAAAGAGTCTGACCTCTCTCTAGCAAAACACGTGAACTCTAACTACATTTATTGATATTGATTTAAAAAAAAACGTAGATATCGCTAATCCATGAACCGCCAATCATGGTAGTGTAAAAATGGGAATACTTAACATTGACGGAGTGAATTCTCTTATATGGTTCTTTCACTGGATTTTCCTCAACTCAAAAGTTTTTTTTGTCGGGTTCGTATTTTGTAGATAAAAAAATCGAATGGTTCTTTTGGATTTGTTTAGCCTGCTGGCATATCTAGCCTGATATCTCACATTAGTATATGTTTTTTAAGGGAATTTCTTTTTCCACCCTATAATGTAAAGAAATACCATATACATTTCCTAAAATACCCTTGAAAACCAAAAACATATTTTCGATGCACACCCACACAAACATAATTCATCCGTTTTTGAGATTCGTTCTATTTTACGATAAAATTTATTTCGAAAATACACTTCCGATAATTCCCAGAAATACACTTCTGATTATGTAACTGTTCTATAAAAAATTGAATTGATCATAAATTTTTTCTTATTTTATTTGATGCATGATCCAAAATAAACTTCCTCTAAAACATACTTTTGAAACATACTTTTACTTTTAGATGAAGTTTCATTTTTGACCATGCATCAAATAAAATAAGAAAAAAGTTACCTTCAATTCAATTTTTTATAGAGCAGTCACATAACTGGAAGTGCATTTTCGGAAATTACTAGAAATATATTTTTGGAATAAATTTTGTCGGAAAATAGAATGAATTTCAAAAACGAATGAATTATGTATGTGAATACACACCGGAAATATATTTTCGATTTTCAGAGATATTTTTAAAATTTCGTATGATGTATTAGAAAAACACAGGGTGGAAAAAGAAATTATTTAATGGTATAGAGGGATTCTCATTAGTGAGAAAGATGTAATAGCAATCAAAACACAACATTTTGCCAACAAATATTATATGTCACACACTAGTTTGAAAATAAAAATTATTTTGGGTAAATTTACTCTAGAAGAAACAAATGAAGAAAATTAATCAGTCAACTTAAAAAAAAAAAGATTGATAACCGAGTCCAGAGAGGAAAGCACAAGTTTGGATTTTTGAGCATAGAAATCAACAAATAATTACAAAAATCTTGCGTCTCTAGTAAAGCTTCACACATAAAAAATAGACTGTGAACACGCACATACACAAGAATTGATATGCACAAAATATTGACCACAATAACACACATTCAACAAATGAGTAGTTGAGATTTTTCTTATCCAAGTAAAAGCAATGGTTAAGAAATATCCCACCAATCATTCTTTGAGTTTGAGGGTAATGTTAAACTATAATGAGCATGTAACGTTCCTCTACATGAAAATATTATGTTACAACAGATGAATAACCCACTAACTTTTGCTTGAACAAAAATCTTCATTCTTACTATCTTGGCTAATGTCTGATGCCAACAACTGTTCTTGAATACAAGCTGCAAGCTGAGAAACTTTCTCATCATCTAACTTTAGGGGGCGCCTTAGCAAACTCTATAAAAAAAAGATTTTATCATCAACTAATACTCACATTGCATCTAGAGCATAATATAAAAAGCAGAAAAATAAATAATAACAACTATATATCATAATTAAACACTAAGAGTAATTATCAATTATGGTCAGGCATTTTTCTACTGATAATTATATGCATACCAGATCAAACATGAGATGCAAGTGAAAAATTACCTCAGAATTCCACAAACAATCGTATGCTTTACGGGGAATTATGTGGACGTGAGTCTGAAAATAAACATTTTTATGGTAAAATAAATTAAGTTTCATAACTTGTGAAGTAAATGTTTGAATTCCACAAAATTACTTATAACAGGAGAGAAAATACAAAATCTTACATGAAAAATTACTTGGCCAGCATCTGCTCCATTATTAACCAACAGGTTGAATGCATCTGCAGAATTCCAAACATCATATAAACATCATTGCATAAGATAGAATGTCATGCAAAAGATTAAAGGGAAAATATGACAATGTGCAGCATTATTATATTTTTTTCTGCAAACAAATAATAGTAACAAAAATTTGATATGCTAAATGAAAATGGTTAAACCAATGTTTTAACAAAAATCGAACCGAACGAGACGGTTGAACCATGACTCGCTGCCATATATGGTTCAATTACTTGGGCAGTTTGATCGCAGTTTTGTCTCGGTTCAAGCTGTTTAGAGCAATTAAACCATGACACAGAGGTTTTGTCGGTTCGATGTTTGGTTCGGTTTTTAAAACATTAGGTAAATATGAATGATCTATAGAAACCACATTATGGAACGAGAATCTAGTATTCTAGTTACTCCCTCTGTCCCTAATCTTTAATCATTTTAGGTTTGGACCCGTATATTAAGAAATAATAAGTTTATATAACCTTTTTACCCTTAATTCATTTAGAAAAATTCATTTAATGCATGTTTTTTGCTTTGTAAGGGTACAAAAGGAAATACATATTAATTGTATCTTGGCCTCTTAAAAGAACCAAAG